GCATTGAAACAGTAGTATCCCGTCATCCATACACGACCATTACCACCTACCATAGAAGATCCGAGCACGAAATTGTCAAGGGGTGTCGACTCTAGACAGGTCAGTTGCATCTGCATGCGCCTCCAGGCCCAAAAACCAAAATGATTTATTTATGGACAGGCTTGGGCTAACTTTTAAAGACTGGGCTCCAAATGAGATTCGGCCCGAACTTGTCCTAATCCGACCCATGAACAGGTCCTAGCACGAACGAGGCTCATGACAGATTAACTAGGCGTTTCGTGTCTGATGCTGATGCTGCAGCCATAACACTCACACGTACACACCAAAAGGCAAAGCTAAGAGGAAAGCTGAAAAACTAGAAAATAAAACAACCGAAGCAACGGTTGGCATTGATGAGCAAGGCTATATGAATTGTTTCGGGTATTTAAGAGGCTAAAACCTAATGAACATAATAATTGTTTTCTTTTTGGTCGCATCGCCGAGCTATTTGTTTCTTGCGTAGACTAAGCTTGGTGGCGGATTCTACAAACCATAGCTTTTGACAAAGCATAACCAAGCTGTTCCTTTGCTTTAACGCTTTTCTCCCTTCACTGACAACCCAAAGTCCTCTCTCAATCTCTTCACCCTTTTTTTTTTCTTTTGAATTTATTTTTCTAGCTCATATATCTATCAAATCACACCACTTGTGACTAAGAGAGTTAAGAGAGCGTAACAGAAACGAGAGAGGGTAAGAGATATGTCAGGCATTGCAACTGCTGCTTGTCCTTCAGGTTTTCTGTTTAGAAACAGAGAAGTAGGAAGCAATAATGGAGCTTCTCTGGGTCAGCACGATGGGCTTAGAGCTGTGGAGAGCGTGCGGTTAGCTCCAACTGGCACTAAACCCAACAGGTTCATTTCTAGTTCAGGTATTTGGCTTTTGGTTATTGAGTTCTATGTGTTCCTTGATAACAAAGGCAGGGGATCATGGGACAATATTAGCAGTTTAAGTTGATAAATATCATAATCCTAGATTGAGTTGTTCAATGGATCATATGTCATATATATATATATATATATAAGGCTTGGAATGCTGCTGTCTGCTAATATTGATTTGGAATGGTTTCCGTTTTTGTTTTAAATTCTGAGTAGTACTTCTCCATTCCCTTTCTCAGTGCACCAAAATAAGATAATCTTTTTATTTAGGATCTTGTTAGCCAGTCGTTTGGTACCTGTCATTTTCCTGCAATATGTCAATCCAGGGAAATCAAGCTCTCAAGTCTATAATGCCTGGTAAAAGATTGATAAGTACACCCAAAATGACTGTCCTTGAAAGGACCACCCCTGCCAAACACGCACGAAACTGGAGTTGTCTTATATATATATAAACATGGAATCTTCTTATAGCAAGGGTGACACCTTGCATTGCCTTCTCTGATTCTTGGCTCTCAGGAGTCGGGAATTGAGGTAGTCAAAAAGCTTGTTGGGTATAAAATAAAATGCATGCGAACATCAACATGTTTCTTGTGGCAATCAATACTAGATATTTGTGATACATTCATTGTTGTACTACGATACGTCTATACCTTCTGTTTACTTCTCTCTTGGTTCTCTTGTGGCAAAAATATTGAGTAAAAACTCTCCTTTTAAATCATAGAAATTGGGTGCTAATTGAGTTTACTTTCCTTCAGCTCCAAAATGCAGAACAATCAGGGCTGTGGCGTCGCCAACAGTCTCAGCTCCCAAAAGAGAAAAAGATCCCAAAAAACGAATAGTTATAACAGGAATGGGGCTTGTCTCGGTTTTTGGCAGTGATATTGATAACTTCTATAACAAACTTCTTGAGGGAGAGAGTGGTATATCCGAAATTGATAGGTTTGATGCTTCGACTTATTCCGTTCGGTTTGGGGGTCAAGTTCGTGATTTTTCTTCCGAAGGCTACATTGATGGGAAGAATGATCGCCGTCTTGATGATTGCTGGAGGTACTGCTTAGTTGCCGGAAAAAGGGCCCTCGAGGATGCCAACCTTGGGTCTCAAGTCCTTGGGAAAGTAAGTGTTCATCTGCTGTATGTTACGGCATGCAAAATGTTATGTGGTTTTAGATTAAACAACAAGTCATAGAACCACTCTGTTCTTATGCATTACAGATGGACAGAACTAGAATTGGGGTGCTGGTGGGTACAGGCATGGGAGGCCTGACAGTTTTCAGCAATGGAGTGGAAGCTCTTATTCAAAAAGGATACAAGAAGATCACTCCTTTTTTTATCCCTTACTCTATCACCAACATGGGATCCGCCTTATTGGCTATAGACACTGGCCTAATGGGACCTAATTATTCGATTTCAACTGCTTGTGCAACTGCAAATTACTGCTTTTATGCAGCTGCAAATCACATCCGAAGAGGGGAAGCTGAAATCATGGTTGCTGGTGGGACTGAGGCCGCTCTCATTCCAACTGGGATTGGTGGGTTTATAGCTTGTCGGGCATTATCCCAGAGAAATAATGAACCCAAGAAGGCTTCAAGACCCTGGGACAAAGATCGTGATGGTTTTGTTATGGGAGAAGGCTCTGGTGTACTGGTAATAATAAGTTGACAACATTACGTCTGCGTTTCGAATTTAGTTGTAGCTGCTTGGCATCGCTTGCATTTTTGAATTAGCAGATTTTTATTATACTTATACCTTGCATACAGATTATGGAGAGCTTGGAGCATGCTATGAAAAGAGGAGCTAACATTATTGCAGAATACTTGGGAGGTGCTGTAACTTGCGATGCTCATCATATGACCGACCCACGTTCTGATGGTCTTGGAGTTTCATCTTGCATAACCAAAAGTTTAGATGACGCTGGAGTTTCCCCTGAAGAGGCAAGAGCACTCATTCAACTAGTCTTGACAGTTGACAATTGACAATGAGGAAACCTGAACAAATTTCTAATATAACCATGGTAAAACCGTTGATCTACAGGTGAACTATGTTAATGCTCACGCAACATCAACGCTGGCGGGAGATTTGGCTGAGGTTAATGCAATCAAAAAGGTCTTTAAGGACACTTCTGAGATAAAGATGAATGGGACAAAGGTAAGATAAACATAATCTACCTTCTTTCCTTTTTCTTTTAAATCCATGGGATATGAACTATGATTCACATGCACAAAGAATCAAATTACTGACATTTCACATATGACAATATCTGATTAGTCAAGATCAAAATTTTTAAAGAGAACTCATTTACCTGGTCACATGGCAACAGAACCCTTAAGGCTAGCTGCTAACGAATCTGTTCTGTTTCTCTTCCCAGTCAATGATTGGACATGGCCTTGGAGCTGCTGGTGGATTGGAAGCCATAGCAACCATAAAAGCAATCACAACCGGCTGGCTGCATCCTACGATTAATCAAGACGTATTCACCACAACCCTTGTTTGTATATAATATATATATATATATA